CTGCGTAAGAAAGTTTTAACCTAACCTATCGGACCCCAAAGGAAAGAACAGTGTCCAAGCATGTGGAAGGTTCTGGAAGATGACTCCTGATGCTGGATGAGGAAGATCTTTCCAGCAGCTGGTAATGCCCAACCGTGCAGTGGACTCACCTGTACCTGAGGGGAACCAGGCAGGCAAACATTTCTGAGGAAGGACAAACATTTCTGAGGAACTGACGTGTCAGACGGTGCTGTTCCAGTGTCCTCTCAGGTCCTTCTTTCAGAGGGTCTGAAAGGGAAAGTGTTAGTCACTCAGTCGTGTCCGACTCTTTGCGACCCCATAGACTGTAGCCGGCCAGGCTCCTCTGTCCATGGGATTCTCCAGGCAAGAATATGGGGAGTGGGTAGCTGTTCCCTTCTCCAGGGGATCTTCCAGATCCAGGGATCGAACCCGGGTCTCCTGAATTGTAGGTGGCTTCTGTATCGGCTGAGCCACCGGGGAAGCCCTCTGGGTCAGGGTTGGCCTCCTGCCGCTGTGGCCCATGTCTGCAGGTGGGCAGCCGGGCAGTGAAGGGGTGCGAGGCGCGTGCAGGACGGGCGGGGACAGGGGGGAGGGGGAAGGGAGGGGTGAAGCATGTCTTGTGGGTGAGGCTGATGGCAGAGGCCACAGTGCCAGGGGGTCCAGAGTGGTCCTGCTCATGAGCTCTCTGACTCAGGCATAGTCACCAGCCTACAAGTTGGGAACCAGCCCAGAGACACGAGACGACCTGCTTCCAATCTTCCCGGTCTCAGGTGGGCTCCAACATACCTAGGGGGCACCACCGGCCAGAGGCCACATTGCCCTTTTTGTCTCTATCAGGGGTCTACTGCCTACATGCTGGCTTGTCCCTGGGTAGGACTCACACTTCCAAGTGCCCACCAGTGCTCTGGTGGGGAGAGCTCAGAAGTCAGCCTGGGCGCACCTGGCCTTCCTGGGCACTATCAGAACACAGCATCTGGGGACAGTGTTTATTTACATTATGAAGGAACCTGATAAAAGATCGAGAAATACTTCCGACTCAACACAATGAATCATCCGATTATACGGATTAAGTGATCATTCAGCGTGGGATCGTATTAGCCTCGTGCCCCACTCCTGGGTGTGTAGACACCCCCACAAAGGAATTGGTGGGTGCCCAAGAGACTCAGGCGGTAAGCGGGGAGTTGCCCCATCGCCCTGTTCCCTCCCTCATTGTGTGTCTCCTGCTCAGGGCCCGTGTGGCTTTGCTGTAGGGTCTGTCACCCAGAGGACGGGTTTTACGGTGGCCATGCTGTGGGCTTTGCCCCTGTCCCAGTCCTTCAATGGGAAAGTGTCAAATGACCGAGCCAAGTGACCTGAGGCCTTGCCTTCTCCTTATCTGGTCACTTACTGTAAGTAATTCACAGCGAGTTTCAACATCTTTTCTCTGTGGCAAACGGCGTTCTTCTGGCCTCTCACCTGGTGTCCTCTGGCTCATGGCGTGAAGATCTGGTCTCTTGAAGTGGACTGTGTCAAACAGTCAAATCCCGGGTGCAGGGGTTTGTAAGAGGCGGTCAGGACCACCTCTGGGTCTCTGGGAGTGGAGTCGAGTTTTAGGACCTTGGTCACTTTTGAATTCACCCATTCTCATGTCACTGGGCTTCCCTGCTGGCTCAGCTGGTAAAGAATCCACCTGCAATGCGGGAGACCTGGGTTCGATCCCTGGGCTGGGAAGATCCCCTGGAGAAGGGAAAGGCTACCCAGTCCAGTATTCTGGCCTGGAGAATTCCATGGACTGTATAGTCCATGGGGTCACAAAGAGTCGGATACAGCTGAGCAACTTTCACTTCAATTCACTTCACTTCACTTCACTTCACTTTATGTCACTTCCAGCCAATGACAAAAGGCAAAGGAGATGTGGGTACATCCTTGCCTTGGGTCTGACTCATCCTTAATTGACTGGTTGACACTTAGGAAGTCTATAAACCGCTCTGGCCCTCGTGTCTTCTTCTGTAAATCAGGGACACTCATATCCACCCTATGGAAGCGATCTCCTTATTACAGGAAAGACTCGGCTCCCCAGAGGCTGCCTGGAGCACAGCACATGCTCGGCACACCCGAGTGTCCTTCTTTCCTCCCTTCCTCCCCATCACAATCTCTGCCATCTGCCGGTCCTCCTCTGGTTTCCACCATCGGCAGCTGGGGTGAGAGACAAGGCTGGACGTGGAGGAGTAAGACCAAAGCCCCAGCTGGCCCTGCTGGCCTCCTGGGAGGAACCACAGACCTCTCCAGTCTCCCTGAGTCACTCTCAGCAAAGCACAAACCTCGACTGTAGGCTGGAGGGGTCCCCTCGGGGAAGTGGAGGGGACTTCTCGTAGTTCTGGAGGCGAGAACCAGGCTAGTAGGTAGAGAACATGTGGACAGGCATAGTGAAGATGGATCTGCCCATCAATAGCGAGTGTCGGGCAGTGAAGGTGACAGCCTCCAAGGTCCCCTGGCTGTGCATTGAAGATCCTGTCGAGAGAGCCACAAGTTTAACACTGGCGAGACGAGGTGACCACTGGTCCCTGCTAGTTGTTCTCAGCCGGGGAACCACATTCAGGGTGCTCAGCACCCTTGTTCAGAGGACAAGGTCACATGGCAGAACTGCAGACAGCAACTCTTAAAGCAGTGCTTCATCTTGTGGGGTTCTGGGATTATTTAAGAGACAATGTGATTTGGGGCTAGCAGAAGACTGATCATATATATATAACACTGAAAAGAAAAGAGAAAGGAGATGTCCATTGCGGTCATGATAAAGCTCCAACTTACTCCCAGGAATCTAGAGAGAGCAGGCCTGTGTTGGGGCTTTGCATGGTACTGGGTTGGGACCACTGGTATTTTTGGCTTGTTGCTTCTCCAGCACCTGGTCTGGGCCCATGTCTCTCTCTGGGCCCAGTCGTGCCCACCGGGTCTGCCTTCTCTCCAGTGTATAGCGTCTCCTGGTGACTGTTTTATATAAATTGTCCAGGGGTTTTTGTTGTGCTCAGTGGGAAGGAAAAGGCCATCCACTGCATTTTCCTGGAAATGGAAGTTCAAGCGTTGTTTTTCTTACTCAATATCACCTTATCTTTTGCTGGTTGGCATTCTTTTTCTGCCCTTTATGTTATTTGTGGTTTTTTCATCTCTATTTGAAAAATCTCTCCGCCTCTGGAGATCTCCTGAGCAAAGAACTGGATCCCGTCTCCAGATTCAGGCAACTGGCTGCGGCCTCGTCTCCCTGGAAATCCTTCCTGTCATCTATTATCCAAGATGGATGCAGGACGAGCCATGCATCTCGCAGGGCTGGTGCTTTCAGGTCATGACAGTTTATTCCCTCAGAAGCTGAGACCCCTGCTCACCACTGTCCGCTCTTGGCCTTGGCCAGTTTGGGAACAGCCAGCAATTCAACCCAAGTCTCATTTCTTCTGTTCTCTTTTCTCCTTTGAATGGGCTTCCCTGGTGGCTCAGTGGTAAAGAATCCAGCTGCCAATGCAGGAGACATGGGTTCCATCCCTGGGTCAGGAAAATCCCCTGGAGGAGGAAATGGCAACCCACTCCAGTACCCTTGCCTGGAAAAGTCCATGGACAGAGGAGGCTGGCAGGCTACAGTCCACGGGGTCGCAAAAGAGCCAGACAAGATTGAGTGACCGAGCACATCAAACAGTCAGTGGGTAGAACGGCATGGATGAGCTTTGTGCTACAACTTTGTGCCAGAAATACTCCATCAGTTCTTGGTTCTATAGAGTCTAAATTCGCTCACTCAAACAGGGGTCAGTGATGGCAGGAGCCCCACCCCTAGCCTGTCACCATCAAGCAGAGCCCCTCCAGGCACCCAACAGGACCCAGAGGAGGTAGACAGGGATCCCACAGGCACCCTCGGGTTCTTGCTTCGTTAAAAAAAAAAAAAAAAGATGTTTGTAGCTGCTTTGGGGAGAAGGACGTCTATGAGTCACTACTTTTAGACCCATGCTGTTCTAGCCACAGGAAGACAGACCCTAATAGAAAAAGGATAAAGCAAACAAAATTAGATTTCTGATGTTCTAATAGGCAGATATATCAAGAAGCGACCTTCCTAAAGTGGCAGCTGCCCACCTCTGTGAGGATCCTTCCACCCTCACTCGGGAAAGGTGTTTGCCTGTTTCCCTTGCCCTTGGATGCAGCCAATGCCATCCTAAAGAGTACCCCCCAACACACACACACCAATCACAGGCAGAAATAACAAATAAGACAAAAAGACAGCAGAACAAGACCACCCCTGCCTGCGGCTCCACTTGACCTACATGTGGAGAGGACATATTATTCTTTCCTCACAATCAGGTCAAGCAGTTACAGGGTTCAAAGGCAAGAATGCCAAATTGTTCTTCTTGAAAGAGCAGAACAGGGAAATCCGGGAAAATCAACACAGGCAGCCCCAGGAGGTGCCAAGTCACGGGCTGCGGTTGGTAGCGGGAGTCCAGCGATCGAGTTCGAAAACCCCCCAAATCCAGACAAGAACTCTGGCTGGAGACTATGATTCACACTGCACTCAGAGCACCCAGCGAGCACGGCCAAAATCCAGTTCGTTTCCCTGCAACACCTTAGCGAAAAGGTTGGCTGTGTGGGTGAGATGTGAATCTATTAATTTCCTGGACGCTCGGTTTACTAAGAGAAAGATTAACAGGGCTGTGATACGTGAAAGCTCTCGAATTTCTCCCCGTGGGGGACATAGGAAGGCTCGTTTGTGGGGCCGAGTGAGGGAGCGACCCACACGCACGGGAGGGATGCGATCGTAAACACAGCATCTCGCCCTGGGACTCTTCAGGGGAACAGCAGGGCTCAGGGGCCAGGGAAGCGCCTGGCTGGGAGTTGGTCCCACCCGCAGAGGTCTGGACCAGAGGCTGGTCCCCTTTCTAAAGTACACTCACCCTTTGACTTTTGGTCGGGGTTTTGCTGAGCTGGCTGCAGCCTGGTTCCAAAACGACAGAGCAGCACAGGAAAAGAACATCGGGATCTCTGCTGGAATCATGCCGACGGTGGACGACATCCTAAAGCACATCGGCGAATTCAACTTTTTCCAGAAACAAACGTTTTTACTCCTCTGTCTGATCTCGGTCACCTTCACCCCCATCTACGTGGGCATCGTCTTCCTGGGCTTCACCCCGGATCACCGCTGCCGGAGCCCCGGGGTGGCGGAGCTGAGCCGGCGATGCGGCTGGAGCCTGGCGGAGGAGCTCAACTACACGGTGCCGGGCCCGGGGCCGGAGGGCCAGTGCCTCCGCTACGCGGTGGACTGGAACCAGAGCGCCCTCGGCTGCCTGGACCCGCTGGCCGTCCTGGCCGCCAACGGCAGCCCCCTGCCCCTGGGCCCCTGCGATCAGGGCTGGGTGTACGACACGCCCGGCTCCTCCATCGTGACCGAGGTAGGTGACTGTGGGACTTAGAAGAAATGGAGAAAACAAACAGTGCCGCTTTCCTTAAGGAAGAAACCGGGGACGCCCAGATGTGGAGTCAAAGGACCTCATAAAATCCTCCTTTCCAACCAAAACATACAGCCTCTTACTTCTCTAGAGTGTGAGTTAGTTTAAACTTCATATTATGACCATAATGATTCTAGTGTATGCGAGTCTCAGTACAAGAAATAAGCAAAAACATATCAGAATTCCTGGAAATAATGCCAGGAAAGGGGAAATTTCCAAGCCTCAGGCTGAATTGCTGGAACCTGTACCCTCCATCTGCTGTCATACAGACAGACAGACATCTGACAGCTCACAGAACTCACCTGATTAGTGCCTTACTGTGATACAATGTACTTTTCTCTCAATGGTTGACCTTCTTCTCTTTAGTTTGCTCAAAGTATATATGTCAAACCATTTAGGGTTGGAGCTTTTGCTATGGTACTATTAATTCTTTAAAAATCACACTGGACATTTCTACACTTGTCCTTCCCTTTCAGAGAGTAAAGAATCTTCCTGCAGTGCTGGAGACCCGGGTTCCATCCCTGGTTTGGGAAGATCCCCTGGAGAAGGAAATGGCAACCCACTCCAGTATTCTTGCCTAGAGAATTCCATGGACAGAGGAGACTGGTAGGCTACAAAAAGTCACAAAAAGTTGGACATAACTGAGCAACACCCACTAACACACACACAACTGACATACATCTGACTGTGAGGCCTCTTTTCCATAAAAAGGGAAAAAAATGGAGGCTTGCTGTTTAAAAAAATTTTTATTGGAGTAGAGCCAATTTGCAATATTGTGTTAGTTTCAAGTGCTCAGCAAAGTAAATCACTTACATATATACATACGTTCACTCTTTAGATTCTTTTCCCACAGACTATCACACAATGTTGAGTAGAGTTCCCTGTGCGCTATAGGAGGTCCCTATTAGTTATCTATTTTATATACAAAAGTGAGACTTGATTTTATTGGAGGCAAAGCAAAACAGGAGGACAAGATTATTCTACAAAGAAAGCCAGGTGCTTGACTTAAAAGGACCACTTGGACGATCTGAAGATACTCTGTCTGAACAGACATTGAGGTAGAAGAGACTTTTCTAAGGATGTAAAGTGGTCTGACAGTTACATGAAATGTGAAGGATTGAAGATTTAACACCATACAATTTTAAGAGGCCTTAAAACTTGGCTCATCTCACTCATTCATACAGACGTGAGGAAACTGAGGCCTAGGGCAGAGGAAAATTTTACCCCAGACACAGAGTAAGAAGGCCTCCCCAGGCGGCTCAGTGGTAAAGACTCTGCCTCCCAATGCAGGAGACACAGAGGACACGGGTTCAATCCCTGGGTCAGGAAGATCCCCTGGAGGAGGGCATGGCAACCCACTCCAGTATTCTTGCCTGGGAAATCCCACGGACAGAAGAGACTGGCGGGCTACAGTCCATGGGGTCGCAAAGAGCTGGACATGACTGAGCCTCTGAGCTCACAATGCACGCACAGAGAAAGTTCATTTTAAGCCCTCGAAACCGGATCTCCCAAACTGCAGGCCAGCACCGGCGACTCCTACAACACTGCCTCTTGTTCCAAATGAGAGCAAAGGCCACAGCCAGGAGCAAGATGCTAATTCCCCTAATTTAAAGAGACACCCAACTGCCCAACCTCCTTGAGGCAGCACTTACTTGTATTGTGTCCACACACCTATTTGCCTCTGTGTATTAAAATTAGAAAGAGGAATGGTTCATGTATAAGTAATGACCTAATTTCAGCTGATTTAGCCAAAATAGAGTTTAGCCTGATGACATACCACCAGGTAGGATGCTAAACAGGCTGCGGGTAAAATCTTCAGATTGTGTAAAGAAAATACAAGCAAGAAAAGAGTTGGGTTATTGTCATCCAGCTACTCCATGCAATACAAGGAGTGCCTCCCACATTCCCTGGGCTGAGTTGTGTCTAACAGGACTTTTATTTTCTTTCCCTCCCAACTCGGGACCCCTGCGGCCCCTCGCAGTTTAACCTAGTGTGTGCCAACTCCTGGATGCTGGACCTGTTTCAGTCGGTGGTGAATGTAGGATTTTTTATCGGTTCTCTGAGTATCGGCTACATAGCAGACAGGTAGGTGTGCCAAAGAAGTGGTGGAATTGAAACTGTAGGAGGAGAGCACCCACCCCTGCTTGAATGCCCTACTACCACACAGCACACTGGCCAAACTTCCCTGGATGGTCACGACAGTCTTAGATGTCTCCTGCCGCTCTGATAGCATGACCACTGTCTCATTCTCGGGGCTCATCGAGGGATGTTTCAGCATGGGATGGCAGTGTTTCCTTGTGGGCTATCCAGAAGCTGAGGGTGAGACAGGAGAGATGACAGATGAAAGATGACTGGATCCCTTTCGTAATCCTGATTCTTCCTTTGGCTTCCTGCCATCCCCCTGGTCATCCACCTTCGGGGCCTCTTCCCCCTCCCCTCTCAAGGCCCAGAGCCAGGTAGAATCTTGCTATTGCTCTTACCTGAGTGCAAGGGGGTGCAGGATTCCTGAATCGGGGCCCCCAGAGCCAGATGTAATTGTTGAGTTGGCCAAAAAGTTCCTTCGTGCTTTCCCTTACGATCTTACAGAAAACTTTGAATGAATCTTTTGGTTTACCCAATGTATGTGTGGAAGGTGCGATATAACGATGAAAGGGAAGCAGGGTCTCCACACTGACAGAGGTAAATATTCGATTCCATAATGTCACATCCCGAGAGCTAAATGAAGGGAGACGTCTCCAGGTGGGACGCATGGCCGGTGGTCCTCTCACCTGGGTCTGAATCTTCAGGAGCTTGTTTTCAGTGGCTCATACCAATCCAGCCCTTCCTCGGCCTCTTATTTATCCATCGTTTTGTAATCCCACATTCACTGTGCTGAAAGTTCCTCATAGCGTGCATCTTTACTCATTGATCTAATTGATCAGTGATCAATTAGCATTATTAGGAGTCCCCTAAAGGGAAAGGGAAAGAAGAGCTTCCCTGGCTGCTCAGGTGGTAGAGAGTCCACCTTGCAATGTAGGAGACCCAGGTTCGATCCCTGGGTCAGGAAGATCCCCTGGAGAAGGGCATGGCAACCCACTCCAGTGTTCTTGCCTAGAGAATCCCATGGACAGAGGAGCCTGGTGGGCTACAGCCTGTGGGGTTGCAAAGAGTTGGACATTACTGAGCAACCAACAAAGGGAAAGGAACAGAAAAATTGGCTCTATGCTTGATAAACACCTTAGCTAATTTGGCCATCAGAGCTATAATATCAACTGTTTACTGGGTGTGTTTTGTATGCCAGGCAGTGGGTGCAACATTTTAAGCAGTATCATCCTCTTAATATGGAGAAGGAAGTGGCACCCCACTCCAGTGTTCTTGCCTGGAGAATCCCAGGGATGGGGGAGCCTGGTGGGCTGCCGTCTATGGGGTTGCACAGAGTAGGACATGACTGAAGCGACTTAGCAGTAGTAGCATCCTCTTAAATTGTTAGTTACCTAGTGAGATAGTGCTGCATAAATGAGCAATAAATATGTAGTCTCATAATTTATTATGAACTACACATGTTTAATTCTCAAATGAATGGTAAATATGCTTGCTGCCTTCTCCAACTCTATCTTTGGTACAGATAAACCCAAACCTGTGAGCTTAATATGAAACGTAGGTAGAACATTTTGTCTGATGATGCTGCGTTGTCTGTCTGGATTAAAACCGGCAAGTGCATTGAAGATGAATAAGGCTGGCTGAATCCGTCATACCTCAGGGGCATCTGAACGTTCGTGGCCAGGACTCCCTGTGGCAGCAAGTGGGAGGGGAATGACAGAGGGGGTGCTAGGTCTGAGGCAGCCCCGGGCCTCATGCCTCTTCTGTGACTGCCTGTGCACCCTCTTTGAGAGGCTCTTCTTGGGACTCTGTGTGGCAAAGAGGCTGGTGAGGTGCAAGGGGAGGGCATTTGCTTTCACTAGTATTGCCACCGAACTGAGGGTGGTGGTTTAGAGATGACCCTTTAAGAAGGAAGAAGCACCCGGAGTCCAGAGTCTGCCCTGCTCCAGCGTGTGGCTGTCTGGTGCCCTTGCCCCGGCTCCCTGTCCACCCCCAGCTTCACTGGAAAGAGCGGACTCTAACACTCAACTTGCCAGCACGGAAGTGAGCAAATAGGTGACTGAGCTTCACAGTTGGTTAAATAAATGAGTTAATTATTCCCATCCCACTCAGAGAGTAGGAGACGGGTTATAATTCTCTCCTGACAGTGCATTCCTGATTTATAATCCCCGGGCAATTATCCACCTTCTCAGATGACCTCATCATTTTGTTCCCTTTGTTGAAATCTCCTATGTGAAGCTAATTAGTCATCATTCCTCCCCCCACGAGCTGTAAGCATCCCTCTGTTTATTTTTCTTAAACTGTCTGAAGTCTGGTTGGTTGTTATCCCTTTCCCTTCTGCTGTGTGTGCAGGTAAGGGTATGGAATAAGACGACCGCCAGAGGGATCCAATGAGGACGCTTTATCTTTTGCACACTCAACATCTGTTTCTGAACAACTGTCAGGTTTTATACAATGGTGCAAGAATCTCATGGGAACCCATTTGATGCTACAGATTAAACAAAATAGATTGTTATAAGGAATTTTAAAAAGATGACCTAACAGCTGAAGGGGTGAAGAGCCTTTTAAGAGCTGAAGTGTCTTTTAGAAGAAAGCCAGGAACACCAAGTCAGACTTTCTGAGGGTCAGCTTTGCAAACAGAAGGTGGGAGAGAAGGGGGATATATGCTAGAGAATTTGGAAATAAGCCTTTTGTAAGATGTCTCATTTGTTTCATCACTCAAACCTCCTAAGGAATGACTGTGAGAATCCCTGACACAAAAAAGTAATCGATCAGCAATTCCAGGTTTTTTACTCCAATGATCAATAATTTAGTGTCAGGCTTGTAAATGTTTTATTTTATTTTTTAATTTTTGACCATGGGTCTTAGTCCCCTGACCAGGGATCAAACCCATGCTTCTTGCTTTGGTAGGAAGAGTCTTAACCACTAGATTATCAGAGAAGTCCCATCAGGCTTATGAATGTTTAACAATTGACTCTCTGAAGGAGAAAGCCCCGATTTGTAGGGTTTTCTGGTCTCCGTGCTGTCAAAGCTCCCACGGTGGTCCATTTCAAGCTACCAAAGTGAGGTCATGGAACACAGAAATATGTTGGAGAAATATGCACCATCCGATGGCATTTCCGCCATACAAATATAACAAAAAGATATAAAAGACCTCAAGAGCATAGATAAATACTGAAACAGTAAAATAATTAGAAAGAGATGCTTTGCATAGTTATTACACTTGTTTTTAACATAACTTACTTTAGAGGAAGTGTATACTTTCATTTTTCGTAATGGTGCACTTAACAGTCAGTTCACAAGTTTTCTGAAAGTCTATCCGTCAGTTCTTGAGAGTCAGCACCTTGCTGTTCAGATTTCCTAATGGAACCAGATCCAAACAGAATCAAAGTCCTGGTGGGTTGCAGTCAAGCTTACCCAACTCTGTGGGATCTTCCAAAATAAGCTGTCCCCTACCTGCTATGTGCCAGTCATTGTACTGGATGTCATGGTGTGTTATATCTCACTTAGGATCCTAACAGCCGTGAAGAGGAGAGTTATTATCCACAGTCTGAACAGGAGGAGCCTGAGGCTCAGTGAAATGAGTGCAGCACTTCCCAAATGTTAACATGCATGTCAACCACCTGGGGGGTTTGTTAGAATTACGATTCTGATCCAGTGGGTCTGGAGTGGGCCTGAGTATCTGCCTTTCAGATCACCCACTGGTGATACTCATATCCCCAGGCCACAGTCGGAGTGGCAAGTAGCTAAAAGATTTATGAAGCCAGTGGTACTGGAGTCCACCCACTCTCTTTGATTTTCTCTCTTTCTTTCATTTAACCACTTAAGTGGTTCTGTTGTAGGAGGGCAGGAAGGTGGGGATGTCTCAAACCAGTCTCCCGAACCTCCAGAATTTCTTCCAGCCTTGCCTTACTGTTTTAATCGCCTTGTGTCCATCTGTGAAATTGTCTTCTAGTGAACTGCATTCCTAGGTTCGAGTTTCTGAAGGTTCGCATGCTCTGAGTTTCAAATGGTGAATGCCCCCTCTCATCAGCCATGGAATTTTGTCACCTAGGGGAGCACGATTGTGGTGCTTTGGGTCACCTGAGTCAACTTTGGAAGTTGAAGAAATCTCATTTGAACACGTGCTTATAAACTCTTTGAGGATACGTGAAGGGGGCTGGGTAGGAGAACGTGGAAAGAAAGGCTAAAACGTTGTGTTGAATTGTGACTTTGAAAGACTGTGGATAAAAGGCTAAGAGGGTATACGTTTACAGTGGGGAAACAGTTGACTGAGAATTCAAAAATGATGTCGTCAACACAGTTTTGAGAAGTTTAGCAATTTACATTAATTCCCAATGAGACTGCTTGATCTTTAAGTTTCAGATTTAAGGCATTAATAATACCCATAAGACAGCTCACAGGATAAGGTTCAGAATATTATCTACAGCCCTTGAGAAAGAACTAAAGGTCTTGACTATGCTTAATGACGACATTATTATTATTTAGTCTCTTTTGACTGCTTTTCTTTGTTTCCGCATTTTGCACTTCTCTGGTTAAACTCATTCTTTGACTAAAGTTTTCTGTAGACGGAAGGCAGGCAGAGGACATGGTGGTGTAAGATGGGGCCCAGAGGCATGCAGTCCGGTTCTGTTCCCGTAAAGACAAGGTTAAGCTCAGGTTCCCACATTTTCCTGTGCTGAGACACTCCCAGGTCCTTAAACCAACGAAACCCGAGTCCCCATAATAAAATGTACACAAGCGGTCCTGCTAGGGGCCTCCATGACAAAGGCCTAAGGGACGGGAACACATGAGGTGAGGCCACAAACAACCGTTTCCATGGAGACACACAAATACCATGAAGTCCAAAGGCAGTGTTGAAAATGCATAGGGAAATTCACCGAACACTGAGTTTTGCTTTTTTCTAAAGCGAAAGCTCCCGGGTGGGCAGTTGAGTCTGTTTGTTGAGAGGCCAAGCTCATGCGGTGATGGAAGGCTTAGATAGGCCCTTGGGGCATTCAGGACCAGCGGGGGGCGGGGAGGGGGGCCCTCGAAGAATCTCCCATCCCTGTGTGGGGCTGAGAAATTCTGCAGCCCAGAAAGGCAGACCCGAAGTCAGGGATTCTCTTGGAGGGAGTCAATCTGTACCTCTTGAATTTCCATCCTTCAGAGTTGACCCCCACTTTAGTTAGAGTTCCATAGTGTGTGTGAATTTTCTACAACCTTCGTGAATCTAACCTGATGCCACTCCCTCTCTTCGTTTTCTCTTCACAGGTTTGGCCGTAAGCCCTGCCTCTTGATTACAATCCTCATAAACGCTTCGTCTGGAGTGCTCATGGCCATTGCCCCAAACTACACATCGATGCTAATTTTTCGCTTGATCCAAGGACTGGTCAGCAAGGCAGGCTGGTTAATAGGCTACATCCTGAGTAAGAACACTTGTGAATGCAGCTGTGGGAACAAAGGTTGGCTGGCAAAGTACAGTCAGTCTGGTGGGAGAAGCTACACAGAAAAGGGGACTCAACTTTAAGACAACGTTGAAAGATTTTTCTTTCTGTATCAAAAGAATTTCTAAGATCTTTTCAGTACACTCATTCTACATTCCTCCTAGAAAGAAAACAATGAAATAGGAGAGTAAACAGTGTGCCATCCAAATTCTTATATAACGCTTTAGGAATTTTTGTTTTCCGTACCCTAGGGTGTTCCATAGAGAGAAAATCTAGCCTACCAGGCTCTTCTGATTGTTGTTCTGTCACTAAGTTGTGTCCGACTCTTTGCAACTCCATGGGCTGCAGCACACCAGGCTTCCCTGTCCTTCACTGTCTCCCAGAGTTTGCTCAAACTCATGTTCATTGAGTCGGTGATGCCATCCACCCATCTCATCCTCTGTCGTCCCCTTCTCCTCTTGTCCTCAATCTTCCCCAGCATCAGGGTCTTTGCCACCAAGTTGGCTCTTCAAATCAGGTGGCCCAAGAATTGGAGCTTCTGCTTCGTTCCTTTTGATGGATGTTCAGAGTTGATTTCCTTTAGGATTGACTGGTTTGAACCCCATGAACTTTAGTACTAGGCTCTACAGAGAGAACATTCAGTGAGAAACATGCTAGATTTATAAGAGACTTCATTAGTTTGAGTGCATCCACTCTAGCAAACCACAGTTATCCTCAAATAACAAGCAAGGAAACTGAGGCTACAAGTACTATGGTCAATCTCGGGTCCTCAGCAAGCCACTTGTAGGACCAGGAATATCATTTACATGCTACTCATTAGGAGCCAGGCCTATGCTTAAGCTCCATGGATTATAGGAGAATATTTGCATTATAGCAGCAGAGCATCTTTAAAGTAATATTTAGAAGAATTACCACACACTTAGATCTTGGGAATTCACTTCATCATTGCTTTTCTTTCGGGTGCATTCAAGTAGCATCCACACACAGGGAAATGGGCTCTGAAATTTAAATAATAATAATAAATCCTTCATTTCCCACAAGAGAACTAGAATATCTGTACTTAAAGATTGGCTCAGTAAAGGGGCCAATAAATCCAGGGCATTCTATGAGATGAAGAGGAAATGGCGCCTAATACTTTTAGGTGCCGGTCATGGTAGTCACCTGATCTATGTGAGGACAGCAAAGAGATTGCTGCATGCGGTTACTCGATGAGAAACTTGGTTTCCGAAGGCACAGCATAGAAATACGTAGCATTTGAATTCAAATTTCAGCCTCCTCTCAGTAATTTCTCCTCCAATCCCTCCAGTGTCCTCATGGTTCACTCGTCATGCACCCTTTTTCTACTTTTCTGCTTGCTACCCCAAGACCTCATCCATGACCCCAACCACTTTGAAAGACGGCTGTTTGTATTTATTAAGTATGTACACAATTTCATCTCTCTTTGTAATTACTTTTGGATATTTCACAGTACTTCATAGGAATAATTTCAGAGAACATTTCTATTTGGTTTACAAATAGTTGAAATCTTTAACATGGTAACCAAACATTTAAAGCAAAACTCCGTGGTTCGTGGAATGTCTGGCATGTCAATTCTAGAATGTCTGTGATATAAAAATGACTATTTCCTAAGTCCATGTACCATGGACTTCATACATCTGTCATGGTGTATAGCATGGGATAAGAATAATTATACCACGTGCAGTGTTATGCCTTTAAACCAGCTCTTGGAGAATAAAAAACCTGATTCATAGTGTTTTCCAATTTTTAAGTTGTGAATACTCACACCATGACTGATTTTAAGATACCAATGGGTTAAAAATCAGCTTGCAAAATTCCTAAAAATTTAAAAATTAGTTTTTGCCAGCCAGTACTAGCTCACTTCAGTCAACCTGGAAACCCACCCCTTAGGTTTTCAAGCCATTTGCACTCATTAACAGCATGGCCAAGAAAATGTTTAACTCATGTAAGAGGACATGAGCTATTATACTGAGCTATTCATTTATGTGAAAATCATCTATGCTATAAATTCAGTGCTTACTCCATCTAATGTGGGATTATGAGATTTTACATTAACACAACAGCAATAATCATAACAGAATAGGTCCCAAAGGACATTTAAAATTTTCTAAGAGCTGTATAGAAAATTCTAGAGCTTGGACCACGTTTTCAAGGTTGGCATCCTAGTTGTCCTATCGTTGGATCACCAGCTTACTGTCGTACTGACTGGTGCTGACCCTTTGGGTTCTCTCTGCAGTTACAGAATTCGTTGGGCTGAACTACCGGAGGACAGTGGCGATTTTCTACCAAGTGGCCTTCACGGTTGGACTCCTTGTGCTTGCTGGGGTGGCCTATGCGCTTCCACACTGGAGGTGGCTTCAGTTCACCGTGACTCTGCCCAACTTCTGTTTCTTGCTCTATTACTGGTAAGTCCAAGTGGGACAAAAAGGAAATAAACTGAAACATTTGGCTAAAAAGGCTGTCTTCCCCAGTGCACACCATCCTTCCAGCCTGAGATGTCCTTCACTCTTCTATTTCTTGGGAAACCCAGGTCCGTGTTTCAGGGCTGAAAATGACAAGTTTCCACCCGTCTCCCCCTCTGTAAATCAAATGTTCTTTCACTTTGAACCAACAGCTTTATGACTTGGATCTCATATTTTCACATTATTTATGTGGTTTTAAAAATTAGCTTCTAGTGGCCGTAATACCCTTCGAAGAGACTGACAACATTACTGTTCTTACTCTACCTCTCCTTAGAAGAGACTCCAAGATAGAGAAGGTGACGGGTGATGCTGTTATCACCACTTGCCTTGCCAGGTCTGAAGCAGACATCCCCAATCAATCGCAGCAGTTTTTAATCCCAGATGAGGCCAACGTGGCACCCCAGTCAGACCATACCAATCAATCAGAGTTACCAGAGCAAGTGAAATGTCAGTCATTCCTGCCCAAGGGAAACATGGAAATAGAAGAAACTCTCAAAAACTCCTAATGTGAGGTTACCTGAAATAAGTCAAGAAGGGTGCTGGATTATCAACCAAATCTCCTTTGCAAAAACCCACTTATTTAGTTCCTGGACATAGCTACCTGCTGTTCCTATAGGTGACTTTTCTAAAGATTTAACATCCAAACCCTTCCCAGGAAGCCTGTTTCTCCTCCAAAAGCCAGTAAAATTCTGAGGATGATTCTTAGCTGCTTCCCTATATCCTTTCTACTCCCTTTATATCTCTGAATCCACGCCCCCCCCCTTTTTTTTCCTGTTCTCATTAGGAACTCATTATTTATTGCCTGGATTTCTGGACAGATTCATAACTGGTCTATTTGGCATCAGCTTTCCCATCCTCTAGTCCATGCTTCACATTGCATTGGAAAAATCCAGGTCTAGCTCATTCCTCTTTGGCTTAAATATTTTTCAATACTCTTATTCTCCTCAGAATAAACACCTAATGCTTTAGCATGACAGGAAAGGCCCACCTATTATCCAAGTTCTGTCCATCTCTGAAGCACTTCTTGCCACTTTTACTCAGTGGAGTCAAATTTAGTTTTCTTACAATTCTGCAAGCCCCACAATAGAACTGTGTTTTCAAAAGATCACTCAAGATGAAGATTAGAAAACAGGTGTTTGGGCTGTTTTGTTTTCTTCAGATAAATAGTCAGAAGTGGGATTTCTGGATAATACAGTAGTTCTATTTCTAATTTTTTTTTAAAGGAATCTCCATACCACTCTCCATGGTGGCCGTACCAATGTACATCCCCACCAGCAGTGCATCAGGATTCCCTTTTCTCCATATCCTCGCTAGTACTTGCTGTTTCTTGTCTTTTTGATAACAGTCACTCTGACAGGTTGCGATGATATCTCAACTGTGGTTTTGATTTGCTTTTCCCTAGTGATTAGTGATGTTGAGCATCTTTTCATGTCCTTAGTGGCCATCTGTATATCTTCTTTGGAAAAATGTCTATTCCAGTGCTCTGTTCATTTTTATTTATTTTTAAAATTGAAAGAAGGTTTGGCTGTGCTGCATCTTGGAGGCTGTGAGTGGGCTTTCTCTAGTTGCAGCGAGTGGAAGCTACTCTCCAGTTGTCGTGCGCGGGCCTCTCATCGCAGTGGTCGCTCGTCTTGTTGCAGAGCACGGACTCTAGAGCACAGCCTCCGTCTTTGTGGTGCATGGGCTTACTTGCTCCACGGCATCTGGAATCTTCCCAGACCAGGGATCGAACCTGCGTCCCCTGCATTGGCAGGCGGATTCTTAACCCCTGGGGCCATCATGGAAGTCCCACTCTGCTCATTTTTAAATCAAATTGCTTGGATTTTTGCTATCAGGTTGAATGAGCTCTTTATATATTTTGGATGTCAACCCCTTATTCGATATATAGCTAGCAAGTATTCTCTCCCATTCAGTAGGCTGTCTGTTCATGTTGTTGATGGTTTCCTTTACTGTGCGGTCTCCACACACTTTTACTTCCTCTGTAAATACAACCAAACCTCGCTATGTAAGGTCCCTCCCAGAAATTGGCTTGTGACCACTGAACGGGTGGGGGGCCAAGTAGTATGTTCCCCTCTACTTAACAGCACTGATGATACTTTTTCTGTACCCCAGGTGTGTACCCGAGTCTCCTCGATGGCTGATCTCCCAGAACAAAAATGCTAAAGCCATGAAGATCATTAAGCATATTGCCAAGAAAAATGGAAAACCCTTGTCCGGATCTCTTCAGGTGAGCCAGTGGCTAAAGTAGCAAAGCGGGGAATGTGAAAAGGAGGAAAAACCATGCGCTGTCTCCATGGGGAGCCACAGAAGGTGCCCACCTCCCATACACAGCAGGATATTTTTCTGTTGTACTAAGATTTGTGGTTCCCAGTAGAAAATTTTAAGCAGATGGAAAACATCAAAGGAAGCCAAAAGTCATTTGAAAGTCAAAGGAGGAGCTTCTATCTTGTTCATCTCTTGACTGTGTTGGCCCTCAGCCCCAGTACAGAGGGAAGAATCTTCAAACACAAATAATTTCCTAGAATTTTTAAAATTTTAGATACAAAAGTTATCCCCAAATATTTGAAGCACCCCCCCCCCCGCCTTCTCGAATAGAACAAATCAGTGTCCATTTTCCATGCACTTAGCGTTTCGCCTTTAGTAGACCTCATCACCTTTAATTTAAAACTTCTCACCTGAGAGGACCTGGTAAAGAGAAAATCAAGTTTACTCGGAATTTCTATTGACATAATAGCAAGTCATTTCTGATGAGGCTCTAAGATGGGTGACCAGTACAAATCTGAGACTGACCTGACATTCACAGTGAGGGACTCGGAGGCCTTTTTTCTTCACTTCCTCTCTGGGTGGTTAGAGTACCTATTTTTTTTTCTGCATGAACTGGCCTAGGACTGATTCTTAGAATTCAGATCCTCTTGGAAACTGGCCAAGGGATAAAGCACACATGGGTCACTGTCTCCCCCACGGTCAGAGTTCACCTGAGGATGCTAAGTCCAGTTATTGCTGCTTCCCTGGAGGCCTCTTCCAACACCAACTTGTCCGGTCCAGCATTGACTGTGTCCTTCTAGAGTGGGCTTCTCAATTCTGCACACAGGGTCACCGGGGGAACCTGTGAACATGCATTTCCCTCTGGCTGGCCTGGGGCCAATGATTTTTCACTCTTTATTATTTTAATATTTTATTTTATTTATTTATTTGGCTTCACCAGGTCTTAGTTGAGACATGCAGGACCTTTGCTTTTTATTGGAGCATATGAGATTTGACATGCAGAGCCTGGTTCCCTGACCAGGGATCGAACCCAGGCCCCCTGCACTGAAGTCTTAGCCACTGGACCACCAGAGAAGTCCCCAGAGACCTTTCATTCTAACAAGTCCCAGGTTATGCCAATGCTAGTCTGAGTGCCAAGGTCCCAGAGCAGTCTCCTATGGGGCTGCACTCTGGTCCGGGTGTGCAGAGAGGGTGTGTCAATGCCCTCAGCCGTCAGGGTCACTGGAGGACCTCAGTTTTACCCCACCACACTTTACCAACAGCATCCCTTAATATATATGCATGAGTTACCTCGCTTCTCTGTAACCCAGTTTCCCCTTCTGTGAAATGCAGCAAAAAACATAGAATCTAACTTGTAAGGTGGTTATATTGACTGGACAAGTTAATGTGTATTAAGGGCTTAGCTAGCTCTGGGCACATGAAAAGCATTCAGCAAGTCTAAGGTATTATGTTCTCTGGGTGACCCTGGGACGCCGCCATGAAATATATAAAACTGTTGCTATTGTTTCTATTCTCAGAGCCTCAGACCGGACGAGGAAGCTGGTGAGAAGTTGAATCCTTCATTTCTTGACTTGGTCAGAACCCCTCAGATAAGGAAACACACTTTGATCTTGATGTACAACTGGTAAGGATCATTTTCCACTTTAAAACCTCTCCAAATTCTTTTAATCTCCATCATCCACATAGAGGGAGGGACCAAGAGTGCCATCAAAACATAGCTTAGGTCCAGTCAGCATCAATGGTTGATTGCAAGTGGGCTCATTTATAGTATGTTGTCTAGAAATCATTTTTGTCAGGCAGATGTTGAAATCAGCTTACAGACCCAACACGTAGACCACACATTCTCAACCTTGGCTTTACCTTAAGAATCACCTGGGAGTTTATAAAATACCAAGGCCAGACTCTTCTCCCACAAAGACATGGATTTAATTGTCAAGGCAAGAAACCAGGAACCAGTACGTTTAAAATTTTCCAAGTGATTCTAATGCCAAACTGAGACTATTGGTATAGATTTTTTTTAAATTGAAGTATAGTTGACTTACAACATGTAGTTTCAGATATACAGCACAATGATTGAGTCATATATATACATATATGTATATATGCTTCAAATTCTCTCGGAGAAGTTGTAGAAGTGTTAGTCGCTCAGTGGTGTCTGACTCTTTGTGATCCCATGGACTGCAGCCTGCCAGGCTCCTCTGTCCATGGAACTCTCCAGGCAAGAATACTGGAGTGGGCCGCCATTCCCTCCTCCAGGGGATCTTCCTGACCCAGGGGTTGAACCTGAGGCTCCTGCACTGGCAGATTCTTTACCATCTGAGTCACAGGGAAGCCCTTACAGGTTGTGACTAAATATTGATAGAGTCCCCGTGCTATGCAGTAGGTCCTGGTTGCATAGATTAATTGATATGAGTGTAGATCTCTCCTTTTCTTTTCCACCTGGAGAGAATGTAAATAAATAAACTTCTCAAACAAGACTACCCCACAGGGATAACCACTGACCCACATCCAGCAGCAAGTCTGACCATCCTCACTGCCTGCAGGCTCGCGGGCTCCGCACCAGTGCAGCGCGCTTTCCCTTCACTGAGCGGCATCGCTGGGATGACACACAGCAGCCAAATGGCACTTCACAGTCACTGACAGAAGGGGACGTCCCTGGTGGTTCATGCTCCACTGCAGGGAGCACGGGATCGATCCCTGGTCGGGGAACTAAGATCCTGAATGTCCCGCATGCCACACGGGACAGCTAGAAAATAAAAGAATATCCACAGTCACTGACAAAAGCCAAGCTCACCAGGAGTTAATTTAGCAACCTTCACAATATTGCATTCAAAATGCATCAGGGCCATCTGGCTTCATTATCCTCATATTTTCCATTGCAGACATTGAACACTTTCAATCAACAAAACCAGAAGCATCATCTAAGTCTTGTTTGTGAATGGATAAACACAGGGACCTACCATATAGCACAGGGAACTAGATTCCATACCCTGTGATCAACCATAATGGAAAAGAATGTAAAAAAAGAAAGCATATGTGTATATAACTGAGCTACTTTGCTTACAGCAGAGACTGGCGCAACATTGTAAATCAACTATACTCCAGTTTAAAAAATTAATTAATTTTTTAAATGTTTTCTGTATCATATCAAAAGATAAATAATCAAAACTGGGGCTGTATCCATTTGGGAATTTTGTTCCCATTTGGTCTCCTATGTTCCTAATGTTTGGATTAAATAGTCATTAGAATTCCAGAAAGAGAAAAGACTAACAACCACTAATAACCTAGATAGCATATTAAAAAGCAGAGACATTACTTTGCCAACAAAGGTCCATCTAGTCAAGGCTATGGTTTTTCCAGTGGTCACGTATGGATGTGCGAGTTGGACTGTGAAGAAAGCTGAGTGCTGAAAAATTGACGCTTTTGAACTGTGGTGTTGGAGAAGACTCTTGAGAGTCCGTCCCTTGGACTGCAAGGAGATCCAACCAGTCCATCCTAAAGGAGATCAGTCCTGGGTGTTCATTGGAAGGACTGATGCTGAAGCTGAAGCTCCAATACTTTGGCCACCTCATGCGGACAGTTGACTCATTGGAAAAGACCCTGATGCTGGGAGGGATTGGGGCAGGAGGAAAAGAGGACGACAGAGGATGACATGGTTGGATGGCATCACTGACTCAAAGGACATGAGTTTGAGTAAACTCCGGGAGTTGGTGATGGACAGGGAGGCCTGGCGTGCTGCGATTCATGGGGTCACAAAGAGTTGGACACGACTGAGTGACTGAACTGAACTGAATAACCTGAAACAGTTCTACTAAATAAATCCCACCAGTAAGATATTTCTCCTCTCCTTTCAACTTGGCCAGGGATTATTAGCCTAATTCTTTCCCTTTCCAGATTCTGAGGTTACAGCCCGCCACCATAATGGGTCAGATGGTGTAAAAGCAATGGGATGGAGGGAAAAGCAATAATAAGATGACAAAAAAAGGTGTCCTACAATCAACCTTTTGGTGACTTGCTCACGGTGCTTGTCTTGATCTGAGCTCTCCTCTTTGCTTAGGTTCACGAGCTCTGTCCTCTACCAGGGCCTCATCATGCACATGGGCCTTGCTGGGAGCAACATCTACCTGGACTTCTTCTATTCTGCGCTGGTTGAGTTCCCAGCTGCCTTCATCATCATCCTCACCATTGACCGCATAGGTCGCCGTTATCCCTGGGCCACATCAAATATGGTGGCGGGGGCAGCCTGTCTAGCCTCGGCCTTTATCCCTGAGGGTAAGTGCCCTGCCAAGCTGGGGTCTTGTCTGCCAAGGCCCTGAGAAGATGGGGGGGCGGGGAAGCACAGCCCTCTGATAGGAAGACCATATTATTCAGCGTGGAAGTCGATTTGGAAAGAATGAATGAAATATCTGGGACTTTCCTGAGTGAACGCATACGGCAAGTCTGCCTGTAAGAGCCACGGCACCCGGTGATGGCCTGATGTGATATAATCACATCCTCTGGTTCTCTGAGTTGGGCTTCCCGGTAGCTCAGACGGTAAAGCGTCTGCCTGTGATACAGGAGACCTGGGTTCAATCCCTGGGTTGGGAAGCTCCCCTGGAGAAGGACAGGGCAACCCACTCCAGTACTGTTGCCTGGAAAATCCTACGGATGGAGGAGCCTGATAGGCTATAGTCCATGGGGTCGCAAAGAGTCAGTTCTCTGACATAATACAATAGGAGAGGCTAGGAGGACCCATGCCTCGGGCCATCCAGCTGGGCCAGCAGAGAGCAGGCTATTTCTTCTAGGTGACCTCTGTAGATGAAAGTTGGTGGAACTTTGGAATCTGATGTCATTCTGGTGTCATTAACAACTGAGGTCTAAAGTGAGGAAGGTCTAAAGTGAGAAAGACTAAAGGTCTAAAGTGGTAGAAACGTGAGGCTAACCCAAGCATACACGGGGGATTTTGCAGAACTGTCCCGAGTCTGCAGAAGCACCAACGGTGCACCCTTGTCCGCTTCTGGGTGATGCACTGTCTCCTTGCCCCTCCGCTCCGCCCCCAAGCTCCATTTGGGGACCCGGGAGCCTGCGTAGCACATGTCAGCCGTGTGTTTCCCCCTCAGATCTATACTGGCTAAGAGTCACGGCTGCTTGCCTGGGTAGGATGGGGATTACGGTGGCCTATGAGATGGTTTGTCTGGTCAACGCGGAGCTGTATCCCACGTTCATCAGGTGCGTACGTCTCCCTCAGCGTGAGGAGGGCGGCTGGGACATTTGTTTACGGGTGAGCACGACCACAGGTGCCAAAAGAGGACAACTCCCCTTTTTTAAGAAATTTATTTTATGGATGTACAGTTGATTTACAGTGGCATGCTGATTTCTACTGTACAGCAAAATAATTCAGTTATACATACAAATGTACATTCTTGTACATATTATTCTCCATTACGATTTATCACAGGATATTGAATCTAGTTCCCTGTGCCATCCCATAGGACCTTGTGGTTGATCCATAGAATAGTTTGCCTCTGCTAACCTCGAACTCCCAATCCAACCCTCTCAGCCTTCCCATGCTCCTTCGCAGCCACAAGTCTGTTTCCGTTTTGTAGATAAGTTCATTTGTGTCGTATTTTAAATTTCACGTATATGCGACGTCATATGGTCTTTGTCTTTCTCTTTCTGACTTCCTGCATTTGGTATCTCTAGGGAAGGCACCTTCCTTTTCGAGAGGATGGGGCCATTTCAAGGCAGTAGGCAGGTCACACCTCACACTCCCAGGCTGGGGTAAAACCCAGGAACCACGTGGTGAGAACAGGAGCTACTGCGTCGAGAGGGAGGCCACAGGAGGGAGAACAGCCTACCCAGGGTGGCAGAGCAGGGCAGGGGCAGGCGGTGATGAAAGTAAAGGTTGAAAATTGCCCCCACCCCCAGTTAAGCATCTTCCAGAAAGTTAATACAAAGCAAACACAACCGAACATGAATGGAATTATGTATCATTTCCATGCATCGACGGTACGGTGAAGACTTTCGGCTCACACACATTTCAATGATTGGGGGAGGTGTTTAAGGCTGGGGTGGGAGATAACTACGGTCCTGGGAAAAGCAGAAGGAAACGTCGGTGTCCTGTGTTTCAGGAACCTCGGGGTGCTCGTCTGCTCCTCCATGTGTGACATCGGGGGCATCCTCACACCCTTCCTGGTCTACAGGCTCACCGACATCTGGCATGAGCTCCCCCTGGTGGTTTTCGGTAAGAAATCCCCAGAGATGTCTGAAGGAAAACCTGTCTTTTAGGGGTCTCCATGTTTCTACCTCCAAACAAGTGCTCTCCTTGCAAGTAACTACTAAACGTGACTAGTAATTGGGGCTACTCTTGGTGTGGCAACACTAACAGCATTAGCAGCCGCTAACACTCAAGTCTGGGAACCCATGAGGACTCAACGCCCATAGAGATGCAAAGTCCAGGGCGAGTGAGGTGGGGGTTTCTTTGAAGAAGACCCTCTCCCCTCACTGATATATGCCTCTTTGTCCAGAAACTCATTCTTTCTATCTCCTCTAGGCCCAGACATTGGAAAATACAAACTCTTTTTACTTCCTTACTTCCAAAGAAGCAGTTAAAATTTTGCCAAGGGCGATTTCAACACCCAGCAGAAATAGACCAAGATGGAGAAAATGCAGACTTCCATGGCAGTCCAGTGGTTAAGACTCCGTGCTCCGAATACAGGGGTCCCAGTTTCGATCCCTGATCAAGGCACTAGATCCCACAGGCTGCAACTCTAAGATCCTGCATGCTGCAATGAAGGCCCAGTGCAGCCAAACAAATACATTTTTTAAGAAAGAAAGAAAATGCATTAGCATGACAGGAACACCTGTGGGGGTGATGGCACCTCATCCTCAGGTTCCTCAGAGATTAGATTGAAGGAGCAGGGGCACAGTCCTGCCTGCCGACCCTGAAGGGAGTATGGGTACTGAGTCCACCCCTCCCAGACCAGCCGCAAGAGAGAAGGGGAGGGATTAACCTAATCGTCACCACGTCCTGAACCCTAAGTCTGCAGACTGTGAGAGGGGCTGGGATCCTGGGAGGTTCCATTCACTCCATACGCACTGTCTCTTCCCCCAGCGGCAGACAGATGGACAGGTGCACTCCTGGGCATCCCAGCAGCCCCGGCTCCAGATCCACACACGTAACTTCACCCTCTCAACGTGTCAGCCCTGGGGTCTCCACACTCCCACTCCTGTCTTCTTTAAGACTCCTTCTGAGTCTTTGTTTTAATTTGACAGAAATGGAACGCTTTCCCCATGGGCATACAAGACTCAGTCTGGGGGAGGAAGGGAAAGACCCTCTCAGATGACAGCAAAGTGAAGTCGCTCAGTTGTGTCCGACTCTTTGCGACCCCATGGACTGTAGCCCACCAGACTCCTCTATCCATGGGATTTTCCAGGCAAGAGTACTGGAGTCGGTTGCCATTTCCTTCTCCAGGACATCTTCCCGACCCAGGTATTTGAACCTGGGCCTCCCTTATTGTAGGCAGGCGCTTTACCGTCTGAGCCACCAGGGGGACAGCAAATGGCTCTCCCCCAATCCTGCGTGTTCTCACACACGTGTCTCTGCCCATTCCTTCTGCTCGAAGGATTTGTGAGGGCAGAACTTTCCACTGCTGTAGACCTATCAGCAAAAACTCCAAAGCATTGTGAGAACTCACCCTTGAAGGAGACCTGACGAATATTTCCATGTTCCACCGTAACAACAAGATGGCCGAGTTGAGAGAACATGAGGTCTCTATCCCGAGGTAGGCAGGTGGCTGGCCTGGCTGGGAGCCCCGGGCCCAGACTCCTTCCTCCCCCAGCACTAGCCGAGGGGCCCGACCCCAGGACCCCTTTTCCATCTTGGGAAGCGCCATCGCACGCTCTGGGCTCTTGCTTACACTCCAACCTCGGCCACTCCCCTAGGTTGGCAGTGAGTGGTCCACGGGTCTGCGGGATATTTCTGGGTGGAAAATAGGTACTTCTTAGTATCTATTTATTTTTCTTAGTACCTTTTAACAGCAACAACAAAAATGCGAAGTCCAGACCCAGAGGAACTCCCCAGACCTAGACCGTCGGCTGGGCCCTGCCTGTCCATCAAAAAGATAAAGGATTTTAACTGCATTTCAAATTTGAAGTAAGCAAAGTGTTGGTGGCTCAGTCGTGTCCAACTGCTTGTGACCCCATGAACTATAGCACGCCAGGCTGCTCTGCCCCCGGGGAGTCTCCAGGCGAGAATACTGGAGTAGGTAGCCATTCCTTTCTCCAGGGCATCTTCCTGACCCTGGGATGGAACCCACATCTCCTGTCTCTCCTGCATTGGCAGGCAGGTTCTTTACCACTAGAGCCTCCTGGGAAGAAGACAATTCCTGATTTTATATCACTGGTAGTTTCCTTCTCTCACCAGCCTTTAATAGCTAGCAGGAAGCAAAACTAGCAGTTTTACAGTTTTCTTTCTCTTTTCACACAATCATGGTGTGCAAACTGTACTGTAGTAAATCAGAAATGGTCATCTAGAAGCCTGAAAACCAACACATGAATACATTGGAAAAATTCATGCCACGGACCAGGCACTTTTCTAAGCACCCAATGAATATGAACTCGTTTCAGCCTCATAACAAGCATTTGAGGTGGACACATCACCCCACATTCTGCAGGGGTGCCTGGAGCATCAGGAGACCATAGAACCTCTCGGGGCTCTGAGACCAGGGCTCAAGGTGTCAGCACTTGGGCTGTCAGTATTGCACCCAGGTGCCCAGAGCTCCAGTCGGTGCCCTAACCCACTGCACACTGCAGGCCTGTGTTTCTGTTTCAGTTTTCAGGGTGCAGAAACTGGAGCCCAGCAGGCACTTTTTTGAAACCCCAAACTAGTAAAGAACCCACATCCTACTTCTTGCATTCTGTGGTAGAAAATATATAAAGATGTACCCTGGTTCGATTCCTGGGACGGGAAGAACGCCTGGAGAAGGGAAAGGCTACCCACGCCAGTATTCATGGGCTTCCCTGGTGGCTCAGATGGTAAAGAATTGGCCTGCAATGCGGGAGACCTGGATTCAACCACTGGTTTGGGAAAATCCCCCGGAGGAGGGCATGGCAACCCACTCCAGGATTCTTGCCTGGAGAATCCCGTGGACAGAGGAGCCTGGTGGGCTACAGTCCATGGGGTCGCAAAGAGTCAGACACGACTGAGTAACTACACCCAGCACAGCGTGTGTGTGTGTGTGTGTGTGTGTGTGTATGCATGTATATATAAATTTTTGTATATATATATGTTTTTGTGTGTATATATAGTCTTTTTATGTATATTTAAGTATATATATATAGATATATATGGTCTTTTTATGTATATACACACATATATATACATCTATATACATTTAAAGTCTATATATAGATATATATACATAAAAATACATACATATATACATACACTATATATACACATACAAAGACTATATATAAATGGATACATTTAAAAAGCTATATATATTTAAAAGAATATATATATATATGAATCACTTTGCTGTATGCCTGAAATTAACACAACACTGTATGTAGATCAACTATCCTTCAGTAAAATAAAAAATAAAAAGCAACAATAAATTAAATAAAATACCTGGCTATACCATTTAATGCTGTTATGAAGTAATATGTGATTCATTACTTTTATTTGCTGGTGATGATCCAAGTTTATAACTCATTTTCATTACTAAGTGCTTTATATTGGCAGGGCTATATTCTTTCTTTTCTTAGCATTGTTTTTTTTTCAGAGTTATTTTCTAACTCTAAAGTATCTTAATATCATGGCAATGTCCTCTAGCCTAGAATAACTTTGACTCAAAATGCGAAGTATTTCATTTCCCTATAAGGAATTGTAATTCAGTGGAGTTTGGAACAGGCAAAATACTTATGATGGGGAACAGGGCAGTCTGAGACGGCAAAGGAATCTGTAAGTATAGGAAACCATAAAAAAAATTTTTTTAAGAAACAAGGGGAGCTCTAATTACAGAAGCGGCATGCATCAACCCTGAATGTGATCTTTGTCTGTTTGGTTTTCAGCCATGGTCGGCCTGATTGCTGGAGGACTGGTGTTGTTGCTCCCAGAAACCAAAGGGAAGACTTTGCCTGAGACCATTGAAGAAGTTGAGAACATGCAGAGGTAGGAAGTTGAGATTTCTTCATGAACCATTCCATGCATGTTTGGGGGAAACTCTGTAGCTGGATGGAAAGAAAGATTAGGTTGAATCTATCCCTCAGACTGTACACTGAGATCAATTCAAATGAAATCAAAGATTAAAATGTACCAACCAAGAAACAGTAAAAGAGAATGAAGATATTATAGGAGAAGACCTTAACCCTTTCACAGTGAGGGAGACTTTTAAAATTTGGCCAAAAATATCCAGGACCCATTAGGAAAAAAAATTTGCCCTCATAAAAATTTAAAACTGTGTTGAAAAACTTCCATAAGCTAAAAAAAGATAAGCAAACTTAGAGAAAATGTTTACTCCTCCATAAAGGGCTAATTTTCTGAATGTATAAATAGTACTAACAAATTCGTAAGAAAAATCACTCAGTAGGAAAAAAATGGACAAAGGACTTGAATACATAATTTAGTGAAAAGAAACAAAAAAACAGCTCCAAAATATATTAGTATGCCCAATCTCCTTCATAGTAAGAGAATTGCAAAGTTGCCCTGCACTGTTACCCACTGGGATTGTCAAAGATCAAACTGCTTGAAAACAACCAATGGACCCTTGAACAGCACAGGGGTGATGGGTATCAAGCCCCTATGCAATCAAAACCCACTTATAACCTTCAATTCCCCCAAAACTTAGCTGCTAATAAATGTTAGTCGCCCAGTCGTGCCTGACTCTCTGTGACCCCATGGACTGCAGCCCACCAGGCTCTTCTGTCCATGAGATTTTCCAGGCAAGAATACTGGAGTGGGTTGCCATTTCCTTCTCCAAAGGATCTTCCCAACCCAGGGATTTGAATCCAGGTTCCCTGCACTGCAGATTCTTTACTTAGCTTACAAGGGAAGCCCCAACTGCTAATAATCAGAAGCTTATGAATAACATAGGGCAGTTCAGACATATTTTGTATGTTGTATGTGTCATATACTGTGTTCCTACAGTAATCTATAGAAAAGAAAATGTTGTTAAGAAAATCATAAGGAAAATAAAATACATTTACAGTACTACACTCTGTTTTTCAGGCTTCTCAGGTGGCACTAGTGGTAAAGAACCTGCCTGCCAATGCAGGAGACATAAGAGATGCAGGTTCAGTCCCCGGGTCCGGAAGATCCCCTGGAGGAGGGCATAACAACCCACTCCAATATTCTTGCCTGGAGAATCCCATGGACAGAGGAGCCTGGTGGGCTACAGGCTCTAGGGTCGCACAGAGTCAGGTAACGACTGAAGCGACTTAGCATGCAGGTACCTTGTTTATCAATACTGTAAATTTATAAGTTTACATCATTTGTTTCTAAGACAAACCATCTATCAGCACCTACATGAACATTTTCTTATATGATACAAAACACTGTAGAACTGGTGGCTCAGTGGTAAAAAAAATTGGCCTGTCAAGGCAGGAAACATGGGTTCAATGCCTGATCCGGGAAGATCCCAGAGGCCACAGGGCAACTAAGCCCATGCGCCACAACTGTGAGCCTGAGCCCTAGAGCCTGGGGACCACAGCTGCTGAGCCACGTGCCTCAAATACTGGAGCCTGCACGCCCTAGCGCCCGGACTCCCCAGTGAGAGAAGTCACGGCAGTGAGAAGTGCGCGGACCACAGTGAGGTAGTCCTGGCTCGCCAAAACTAGAGAAAAGCCCACACAGCAGTCAGGACCCAGCAGGGCCAAAACTAAATAGATTAAATTAAAAGGGAAACACGGTAGATTTTACATGGACTCATAACAAGTGACATCGAAAGTGAAAAGATCATGTAAAACAGAAATCCAAATTTACAGATAGAGTGATTCATGGGCTTCATACTGAAGAAGTACCTATACTGTATATAGATAATATATCGCTATGATTGCTTTATGGTTGCCTACTGTAACTGACTCGATGGACGTGAGTTTGCGTAAACTCTGGGAGTTGGTGATGGACGGGGAGGCCTGGCGTGCTGCAATCCACAGGGTCACAAAGAGTTGGACACGATGGAGCGACTGAACTGGACTAAACTGAACTGTAACTGATGCTATTGCTCTCCACTGCTCATGGCAGCCTAGCCCATACACGAATGAATGGATTGATATGAAATTTTTGTGCCATACAGTGACAGTCATACTCATAATAGAGTATCAGAAATGTTTGTTACATTTTTTAAAAAAACCACTTACCTGTGATGATAAGCAGGTTCTCCACTATGATCAAGAGAGGCATAATGTAAGATAATGTAATTCTTTGAAAGCAAAATTATAAAACAATAAGAAAATGAATATATTATTAGTTTTGTATTAAATATCACTCACCTTATGCTTATGTGGGGACAGAGTCTGTGCATGCATGCGTGCTCAGTCATGTCTGACTCCTTGCAACCCCATGGACTGTATCTCTCCAGACTCCTCTGTCCATGGGATTCTCCAGGCAGAAATATTGGTGTGGGTTGCCATGCCCTCCTCCAGGGCATCTTCCCGGCCTAGGGATCGAACCAGTGTCTCCTGGATCTCCTGCCCGGCAGGTAGATTCTTTACTACTGAGCCACCAGGGAAGCCAAGACTAATGCCTACATATACTTCATGCATTCATGATGGACTTAACTTTTTCTCAGTTTTTTCAAAATTTCTAGGCTACATGTTTCATCTGAGACCTTTTTAAATTGTCACAGATTGCCAAAAAAATTTCAAATTTTTTATTGAAAAAAATCCACGTGTAAGTGGACACATGCAGTTCAAACTTGCGTTGTTCAAGGATCAACTGTACTGTGTTGGTAAAAGGTGTGGAGAGACAGGCAGAGTCCTTAAAACCTTTCTGATGGGCAATATGACAATAGTGATAAAATTGTAAATGTGTGTACCTTTGTATACAGCATTTCCATCCTTGTAGAAATTCATGTGTAAAATGGTGTATGTACAGGATTTTCATTAAAGCAATTTTTATGTATCAAAAGAGTGAGAGCAGCATAAATGCAGATCCATTGGGAGACCAGTTAGTTAAATTATGGCGTGTCATTCAGTAAAATACTGCATAGTCGTTAGAAAGAATGAGGCAGCTTGATATACACTAATAAGGAAACTCTCCCAGATGTATTTTTTTTCAGATGTATTATTAATGGGGGAAAAGAGCAAAACCTAGAAAGGCATATAATCATTTGTGAACAAAGAGAAAAATACATGTATGTGAAACTTAAATATCTCTGGAAGCACATGCATAACATTGATCGTCTATGGAATTAGATGGCTATGGGAGATAAGTGGGAGGGAGACTCTTCAGTGCGTACTTTTTGCACTTTCTGAACACATACAATTCTATTTTAAAAGTAACCTTAAAAAATCAAAAATAGGGACTTCCCCTTTGGTTGATACAGTGGATAAGAATCTGTCTGCAATGCAAGGGACACAGGTTCGATCCCTGGCCCAGGAGGATTCCACGTGCCACAGAGCAACTAAGCCTGTGGGCCGCAACTACTGACGATGCACACTCTAGGGCCAACGAGCCACAACTACGGAGCCCAGGCACCACGATTCCTGAAGCCCCCAAGCCCAAGAGCCAGGAAACCGCAACCCCAAAGGCTGCAGGGAGCGACTACTGAAGCCCACGGGCCTCAGGCCTGTGCTCCACAACAGGAGAAGCCACCTCAGTGAGAAGCCCCGACTAGGGAGCCGCCATCGCCAGCCGCAAGCAGAGAAAGCCCAGGCACAGCAACAAAGACCCAGTGCAATCAAAAATAAATACATAAAACCATTAAAAAAAAATCTACATCCAGAGAAGCATATATGACACACTCCCCCATGAATCTGTTTATGTGATATGCTCAGCTATAACTGTTCATTTTATCCATAGTCCATTTTCGGCCCATTGATGCCATGAACTGAACTGAATTGTACCCACGCTACAAACCCTTCACATTTCACATATTCAGTACTTGGGCAAAGGTCACAGCAGGAGAATCACAGAGGTCTGAGGCTTTTCCTAGAACTTGGAAGAGTCTTTTAATTCAGCCAGAGGTCATGCACTAGCAGTTCATGGGACACCGGGGTCTCAAGAGCCTTGCCTGGCCCACGTAATTTTTTAAGTGGGAAATTCCACATAAAATGAATTTCCAGAATGTGTGTGTTTTTTTTTTTTAAATCAGAGAATTGGGTAACACTGAGCAGGCAGTTTCCTCCTGTTGACAGTTTGGAGGAGCTGAGTGTTGACAGCTCAGCTCTTTGAAGGGCATGCCTGCTGGAGCCAGCCACAGGCCCTTCTTCCCTACCCTTGGTGCCTAGGACACGTCTGTTTTCCATCTGGTGAGTGTGGACCTTTGAGTTTGAGATCCTTGATCTTGATCAACTAACCCCCATAGACCTTGTCCAGTGCATCTTCCTATGCACACGAGTGCCTCCCCTCAAGGACAGAAATTGTACACCGCTTATGGTCGTGTCTCTAGAGCTAAGCATAGTCCCCATGCACAAAGAGCAGATGCTGGCCAAATATTTGTGAAATAAATGCAGAGCTCCTCTACAGCATCCCTATGTGACGTACCCCTAGGTTTGCCCCCGCCAACCCCAGTGTCAGCAAGGCAGTAACATGTGATGGTGAGGAACAGGCCAGGTCTGATGCCAGAACCCAGCCTCTGGGCACTGACTCTGAATTGAATCTCAGAGACAGAGTTTTGGGGTAAAGTAGAAAAGAATAGCTTTTTTGCAGGTGCCAAGCGAAGAGTCCAGGGCAGCTAGTGCTTAAAAGACCCAACCTTCCTGAAGATTTCCGAGGAAAGGTTTATAAAACAATGTGTAGGAAGGGGTTATGGGGTGTGTGACCATCTCATGGACATTCTTCTGACTGGTTGGTGGTGAGGTACTTGGGAGTCAGCATAATCAACCTCTGGTTCCAACCAGTCTGGGATCTAGAGTTAATGGGGAGCATAGGTAGTTTCTTCCATCTGGCGGGGTTTCAGTATCTGCAAAACAGCTCAAAGGACATGGCTCAGAGTATTATATATAGCCCTTGAGGAGGGACTAAAGATCCTTGACTTTACCGGTTAAAGCATTATTTTGTCTTGCTTGGCTGTTTTTCTCTTTTTCTGCATTTTCTCACTTCTCTGATTAAATTTGTTCTTTGACTAAAGTGTTTCTACAGACAAAGGCAGGTGGAGGTCATGGGTGGGTGTCTATTCTGGAAAGGCTTCATAAGGTCCTGCTGGGTTATGGGTCCTCATATTTCCTATCATGTTATCTTCACTCCACTAGGGCTCAATTTTTCATCTATCAATGGAACAAGAGTTCCTATTCATTGAATTTTTGTAATGATTAAATGGGACTTCCCTGATGGCTCAGCAGGTGAAAAGTCCACGTGCAACACAGGAGATGTGTGTTTGATCCCTGGGTCGGGAAGATCCCCTGGAGAAGGAAATGGCAACCCACTGCAGTATTCTTGCCTAAGAAATCACAAGGACAGAGGAGCCTGGTGGGTGGATAATGCCTGTAAAGTGCCTGGCTCTTAGCAAATGTTCAATAACCACCTAGACTATTCATAGAAGTTTTCACAGCTGTTTTACAAAACAACAAAATAGGTACCCAGATGGTTTATTGGAAAGCAAAATTTTAAATATACACTGAATGGTTCTGAGACAGGGAAGTGCAGCTCAGTGATATACCCATATGCCTGTACTTGAAAGAATTTTACATTTTTATCAGACTGGTTCAAAGTAGGCTAAAAAGATATTTTGCAACATTATTCCTGTTGTTGTTTTATATTCTTGCTTACTATGCCATCTGCAAATACATCTATGAAGACTTGCACTTTTCTATCCTCTGTATTGTGTAACCCAGGTCACCTTTCAAAGACAGATGAGAGATCAATAAGGTTCAGAGCGTGACAGGAGGAGCATGTGAGAAGGTGGGGGACTGAAGCCGAGTTGGGTGGAGGCTCCCATGCAGAGAAAGATGAAGAGGGGCCAGCTGGTGGGAGGCAGAGGCACCCAGGAGAGAGGGCAGCTGTAGTTGGCACCTGGAGTCAGGCAGGCTTCTCGCTAGGTCTGGAGAGCCCACCCAGGGTGTCCCAGGTGGTGAGTGGGCACCGGCGAGACCAGGGAGGGTAGGAGCCCCACCACCTCTCGAGTTATTCAGCCCCTGAGCCTATCCTAGGTGCAGAGAGCCTTCTGACTGGCTAACATCACCTATTTCACCCCTTCAGCCTGTTTCCTTTCCTGCAAAATTGAGCTGCAGTAGCTTACATGTCCTGAGAGCTTTCATCTGGTGCTTTGCAAGACCTTCTCCTGTATCACCTCATTTAATCCTTGCAACAACCCTAGGCAGTAGGTAGTATCATTAACCCCATTTGACGACAGAAGGAAAAAGAGAGATTTGCCCAAAGTTAGTAAGTAACAAAGCCAAGGTTTTAATCCTGGCAGCCCAAGGCCAGGGTTCATGGACACACCTCACCCCAGAGGGCTGAGTGCACAAGAGGGATGAGGCAGGCAAGGTGCCCTGTGCGGGGCTGCCTGCAGTTACCAGCAACCCAGTTGTCCCTGCTGCTGTTGCTACTGCTGCTGTTGCTGCTGCTTTTGCTGCTAGTCTTGTTGTTGCAGCAACAATAGTTTTGCGGTTGTTGCTGCTATTTCTGTTGTTGCTGTTGTTTCTGTTGTTACTGCTATCGCTGTTATTGTTGCTGTTCCTGCTTCTGTTTCTGTTGTTGCTGCAGTTGCTCTGTTGGTGGTGTTGCTGTTGCTGCTGATGCTTTTGTCACTGCTATTGTTGTTACTGCTGCTGTTGCTGTTGCTGTTGCTGCTGTTGCTGTTGCTATTGTTGCTGCTGTTGCTTCTGTTGCTGCTGTAACCGTCATTTTTGTTGTTGCCACTATTGACAAGGAGGCCCTTGGAGCTTGATGTTGAGCTTTGACTCCTGTGTCTGGAGTCTGAGAGGACTCCAGAACCACCTGGATTCAGATGAGCTTCTGCTCCTCTCTGCATCTCAGATGGATCCAGAGACTGAGGCAACACTAAGCCCCTCCAGGTGAGGGGCATTCTATGAGGAGTTGGGGGCCCCAGGAGAAGCCCCAACCTGGATTTCAGTATTATAAACACAAACATGCCAAGAGGGTGTGGCTGGGAACAGCAAAGTGAAGAAAGAAGCATTTTTACATGAATATCAGCAAGATCCTTGTATTCATAAAGACAAGATGACTAAGAAAAATTTCAATTTGAAAAAATTTTTGAATTAATTTTTATTTGCTCCTTACCTTTACTGAAAAGTCAATAATCTTTGGTAAAAATGGTTTTCTCAAGTCCTATTTGCAGAACAGATGATAACAGTGTCTATATTTTGCATTCATCACTTTTAAGTGATAGAAAATTAAATTTAGTCATTTACCATGTTCTCTACTACAGAAAGGAGGGAAACACCTTAAACAAAGAATGTGGGCCACTCCCACTCCTATGAGAGCATTTTAGCAATGACTCCATCCACATTAGGTGCTCACGATGCACTGTCCATTTTCTTTTTGCGCACCACCGCAAGGAACACTTGTCAAGACTGATCCTGGACAAAGCTTATACTCATTGGTTGCTCCATCTTTCTATTATCCACTTTATCTTTTTTTTCAGCTCCTCATAATCTCTTTCTCCTCTCTCCCTTTTTGTTTTATTATTTATTGCAGGTCAGGAAAAAGCAGAGACAAGATGAGTTACATTGAAGTCAAGAAACTAGACACTCCATTGAATTAAGGAGAGAGAGCTGCTCTTGTTTGCTTTGACAAAAACAAGGCAAGAATCAGAGATTTCTGCTCTCATCACAAAGCCTATACATGTAACCTTACTTCTGTTTGGACACTAGTAACCTTGATCTATAACCAAATGGAGTCTGTCGTACTGCTGTATGAAAACTGCCTCTAGGACAAGGTCCTGCAATCCTCCTTTGTTTGAACACTTCCAATGATTCATCTTACATAGCTACCTTAAGAGGGGATGCCAGCACTCCTCTGGACCAGATATTTCCAGAGTAGATTCTAGAATATCTCAAGGGGGAAGCAAAAAGTCTGTCGAGGAAAGAAATAGCTTACACATAAAAAGAATGTCAAGACCTTGTAATTTAAATCAGCAGAAATCTGGCTACAAGTTTAGGAATGAATCATAAAGATACAAGGCCCAGGAGGATGAAACATAATAATGAGTCAGGTAAGATTTACTGATATGAGTGCTCTGACACAAGTGTCTAGATTTAATGTGCTGGCTGGAACATCTAGCATCAGCTCCAACAGTTAGCAGAACAACAACATGAGAAAAAATATGAGTATATTTCCATAATTTGAAATAAGGAGGACTTCTTAGGCAAAAGCATAATCCAAGAGACATAAAGTGAATGATTGATTGATTAATGTGACTACACAAAACAAAGCTAAATTAAATGAGGCTAGCTGTTTAACACACCCCAAAAGTAAATTTAATGGATGAGTGATAGATTTGGGGAAATATTTTCCACATATAAAATATTAAAAGGTTAATATCCAAAAGAAATAAAAAGCTACTAAAAATCAATAAAGAAATGATAATCCTCTAGACAAACTATAGGGAAAAAATGGTTAAAGAATACAAAGTTAACCAAAAAAAAAAAGAATACAAAGTTATTTATAGAAATAGCTTTAAAAATTGTTAGGTTTTATATATATATATGTATAAAGATGCATATCCTCATGGTTAGGGAAATAATAATGAAATATTTTTCACTCTTCAGATTAATTAATAAAATTAATAAAAAAATAAAATTGAAAGTATCAAGTATGGATGAGGATATGAAAAAACTTTCATGCATTACTGGCATGCATGAGTTGATTGGTTTAGTCTTTAGAAAGCAGTTTCGCAGTGTCCGTGCACATATTAGAAATGCGCACATCTGGACCCAACAATTTCACCACTAGGTATCTATTTTTGAGAAACACTAAAGTATACAGATTCATCTCAGAGGTATTCATTTCATCATTTGTTGATGAGAGCAAAAATTGCAAATAATCAAAGTCCTTATATGTGAGGAATGCTTAAATAAACTATGGTATATCAACTCATCAGTTAACAAAGAGTGAAAATAATATATAGCTACTCCATATAAAGATCTTCATGATGAAGGGCTAAGATGAGTTTTGGAATAAGGATGTAGAAATAATAAGATGTACATCTAACCAATGATCTAGGGGGAAGAGGAATGGGACTGGGCAGTGTACAAGGAACAATTAGAAAGATTCTACTTTTTCTGCAATTCTTGCATTTTTATGTTTTCATGTGCAGATCTGTGGCATGCTCATGCTGTTTTAAAAAATAAATGATTAACTGGGAAATAGTTCGATGGTTTCTTTAAAAACTAAACATGTTCTTACAATATCGCTCAGCAATTGCTTGCCTGGGTATTTATCCCAGAGAAAGGAAAACATACATCCACACAAAATTCCATCCACAATTTCTCATGGCATTTTTTTTCTCTAATTAAACAAAATCTGGAAATAATCAAAATGTCCCTCATACCAAGGAACACTCCTCAGCAAGAAAAAGGAACAAATCAACAAGACACATACAACTTGAATGGATCTCAAGGTTGCTGGGCTGAGTAATAAAGGCTAATCTCCAAAGGTCACTCATGAAAGGAAAAACTACTGAGATGGGAAACAGATCAGTAGTTAACTATGGTCGTGGTTACATAAATCTACACGTGTGATAAACTGACGTGGGTCTATACTCACATAGCGCACCAATGTCAGTTTCCTGGTTTTGATATTTCTTTAATTATGTGAGATGGAACCATTGGGGAACACCAGGTGAAGGGGACCCAGACTCTCTCTGGATTTGTAAATTCCTGTGAATCTAGTTATTTCAAAATAAAAGATTAAAAACAGTATTTTAAAAATGAAATGTTATGGGGACCCAGAAGAGGCCACTTCTCTGTAACAATGTTTCTTAAAGTTAATGTTCAAAATGTCTTTGACTTCCGAAGGAAACTACAGTTCCTCGGTCCAGAAAAGTGCATACCCAAAACTTGCATATACTTTCACAGGCTTTACCAATCCTGTATTCAATTAAGAATTCTTGCTGTTGACACAAGTTTCAGTCCATAAACCAAACCCAGCCTGCTGCCTGTTTTTAAATAAAGTTTTATTGACACACAACTACACCCATTTACTTCTATTTGTCTAAGGCAACTTTGCAACCACTGCAGAAAAGTGAGTGGTTGCTGTAAAGATTCTTTGATGCGCAAACCTTAAATTATTTGCTATCTAGCCCTTTATGGGGTTTACCTGATAGCTCAGCTGGTAAAGAATTCACCTGTAATGCAGGAGACGCCAGTACAATTCCTGGGTCCAGAAGATCCTCTGGAGAAGGGCTAGGCTGCCCACATCAGTATTCATGGGCTTCCCTGGTGGCTCAGGCGGTAAAGAATCCGTCTGCAATTTGGGAGACCTGGGTTCGATCCCTGGGTTGGGAAGATCCCCTGGAGGAGGGCATGGCAACCCACTCCAGTATTCTTGCCTGGAGAATCCCCCTGGACAGAGGAGCCTGGTGGGCTACAGTTCATGCAGTGGCAAAGAGTCAGACACGACTGAGTGATTAGGCATAACACAGCAGCCCTTCATGGAAAAAGTTTGCTGACCCCTGGGGAGAATCCCACCTCTGTAAGCTGAAAGAAACATTGGAATTAAAAATAATAATAATAATAACACAGAGAAAGCAATATTATTAACATCCTAAAGTCTGAGATCCTTCTGTGTGCCTGAAACGCAGCACCAGTTGTGTAGGCAAACAGGCAAGAAGCCAGGTAAGAAGATAACAGTTTGGAAAGAAGAAGAGCTCCCATCACGCCAGCACACTTGTGCACACGGCCATTTGTGGTTTCCTCCCCACGCCCTGAGGTGGGCTGGGCTGCCCAGCAGCCTCGGGGCGTGTTCTGGGTGTGGTGATTCCCGAAAGCCCCAGCACTCTTGAGGAAAAGAACTAGGTGGGCCTTGCAGATCGGGGTGGCCATGTAAACTGGGAGGGGCAACTTGGGAGGGGAAGAGTCAGGGACCTCTCAATCCACGTTGTAAGATGTGCTCAGTAGAAGCCTCACTATCTAAAAAGTCCCACTCATCAAAGACTATTATTTTCATTTAACCTAAAACAAAAAGAATGTATTTCTATGTCTTTAATGAAGGAGAAACATCTTTTTTCTAAGTGTACGCCTCCCATTAGGAGTTCGGCTTTTTCTGGCTTACACCACGTTCCTAATGCATTGTTTATCACTTGCAATTTGGGGCTCTTTAAAGGAGAACCAGAACTCAAAACACTTTGAAACAACCTGGATCCAAAATTCCAGATTTTTGCCATACTTTTTTTCTTTAATACTTGATTTGTCCACATTTACATGACATTTTTAGTGATTCACTCTATTGAATATTGAGAAAGCATTTTAATTCAGGGGTCCCCAACCCCCAGGCCACAGACTGTAACCTGTTAGAAAGTGGGATGCAGAGCAGGAGGTGAGCATTGGGCAGGCCAAACCAAAACCATAACCCCACCCAGGCCAGTGGCAATATTGTCTTCCATGAAACCAGTCCCCAGTGCCTAAATATAGGGGACTGCTGATTTAATTTACTTTAATTGAATTGTGTATTAAAAATGCATTTTTTCCTTTCTCTTTCATCAGATTACATGATGTCATCAAATTAGGTAATCACAATATAGAGTTCAAAGAGAAAAAACAGATTTAGGAGCAAATCCAACTGATCCCTGGTCCTCCTGTAACTCAACTAAGAGACAGATGGGTGGTCACATTAGAAGGTGGCCACCTAGCTGAGTTGAGGGTTCGCCAGCTTGTTTTGCTAACCAACACAAGCCCGTGTGCCCAACACACAACGAGGCCAAACAAACCTAAATGTCAAAGTCTGGAGCAGAGAAAGGTTTATTGCAAACCCCAAAATCATGCAAGGAGAATGCATGTCTTGTGCCCCCAAAACCCATCAACTCCCTTAAGGAGTTCAGCAAAGCATTTTTAAAGATGGGGGTGGGGAGGATGGCATGGTTGTGATCAGTTCGTGCAGTTTCTGACCGGCTGATGGGGAGGTAACAGGGCAGTGTCACAGGGATAAATATGATCAATCCTTAGGGTCCAGTAGATCTGGGGGCTACAGTGCTCAGGTCATCAAGTAGTTAATTTCTTCCCTTTGGTGGTAGCATCTGAAAAACTCAGGAAGTAAGCATGATCTGGGTGCTTCAGGAAGGAGCTACAGCAGAGGGTGTGGGGGAGGGGTCTGCCCCAGGAAGGCCCCACGGGGTTCTGCCCTGTTGTAGTTTCACAGAGAGAAGGTGTGCCCATCGGGGTTCCCCAGAGAAAACAGAACCAGTGGATGATGTACATATACACGTATGTGAAAGGAAACTTTGGCTTACATGATTGTGAAAGCTGAGAAGTCCCACGATCTACTGCCTACAAGCCAGAGACCCAGGGAAGCCAGCTGCAAAAACCAGGAGAGCCGATGCTGTAACTCCCAGTCCCAGGGTGGAAGACAGATGCCCCGCTCACAGCAGGCAGGATGGGAGGATGGCAGGCAGGGACAACACTCCCTCCTCTCCTTCTCGTCCTGCTCTGTCCATGGATTGGACATCCCGAAACACCCTCGCAGACACACTCAGACATCCTTCTGCATCGGGACACAGAATTCACATTCACGGGGGGTCGCTCTGTAAACCAGTTCACTGGAGGCTGG